CTCCAGGGGGCCTTCCTGTCACAGGGATTGGACCCACGTCTCCTGCGTCTCTTGTATTGGCAGGCAGATTCTTTATCACAGAAGCAGCTGGGAAGCCCCCCGGAAAGCCCCCCTGAAATGTCTGGAATGAGACAAGACCCTGCCCCTTCTCCTCCTCCCCACAAGAGCCCGGCGCTGGGCTGACACTCACCTTAGCCGCCCTGTAATCAGCACAAAGTTGTTAACCACTCAAGAAGAACACAAATCGTTGATGATTTTACATCTCCAAACAGAATTCCTCCGGCATGTCCATGGGCTGACTTTTACTGAATACATGTCCGAGGACTGGACTCAGTCCAGCTGGTTCATCTCCTGGAGGAGCTCACTTCCACGTCGCCCGGACAGCTAAGCCACCGGCCCGCTGGCCGGGGGAGGGTCCCCAGGCTCAGACAGGCCGCCTCGGAGGAGGGCTGGCTGCTTCAGAGCAAGGCTGTTTGCAGGGTTTGACGACTTCTCCCTTGAGACAGTGCGCAGAGGGTCCAGGCTCTGCGCCGTCGCCCAGCGGCAGACACAGGGCTCACTTTGAGCAGCTTGCTCACCACCTCCACTGCTCTTTCACATGAGCTTTGCAAACTTAAGGCACCTTGGTGTCCTGGTTAATTATTTTATCCTAGGTTTGTTGTTCAGTGGCTAAGTCATGTCTGACTGTTTGTGACCCCATGGGCTGCAGCACCCCAGCCTCCTGTATCTTCCACCATCTCCTGGAGTTCACTACAACTCATGTCCATTGAGTTGGTGATGCCATCCAACCATCTCATCCTCTGTGGTCCCCTTCTCCTCCCACCTTAAATCTTTCCCAGCATCAGGGTCTTTTCCAATGAGTCAGTTCTTCGCATCGGGTGTCCAAAGAATTGGAGCTTCAGCTTCAGTTTCAGCATCAGTCTTTCCAATGAATATTCAGGTCTGATCTCCTTTAGGATGGACTGGTTTGATCTCCTTGCAGTCTAAGGGACTCTCAAGAGTCTTCTTCAACATCACAATAAACTTTTAGTATATTTTTACTGAGCTGTTTACATTGTCACAAAGACGAAGTCCCACACTCAGACAATTGCTGATGGTGTGTGGGTCCACCTGCAGAGCCATTCCTAATTTTAGGGGTAAGTAAAGCTTTGCTAAGATTACATGTGCACCCACTGTGATGTGTGCAGAGGCGTGCCATACTGTTCACACCAAGAAAACGCCTGCAAGGAAGGGCTTCAATTTCTTTGCGACTATAAACCTTGAGTGAGCTCTGAATCAAGTTTCCCCAAAGGGAAGCAGGTCGATGCTGCAAACCATGGGTCTCAAGTCCCTGGCACAGTCCTGGGAGAATCTTCTGGAAGCTGGGAGGACCCAGGGAGGAGGGAGAGAGACCTGAGGGCCTGGCCCACATCTGGGGAGTCTATCGGGGCGGGGTGTCCATTGGCTGAAGCTGCAGGCTGGGAGGGCTGGGGCAGTGTGACAAGGTTGAATGTGAATTTCTCATGGGCTCCCTTGTTATTTCTTCAGGTAATGAAAGAGAAAACGTCAGGCTGGAGGCTGACCCAGATGGTGCTGTGGATGGGAACCCCTCCTGGTTGAATAAGTCAGGTCAGAGCTGTCTACTTGCCTGGGCAGAGGCCCAGCTGGGCCCGTGGACCCCTTAAATCACACACTTAATGTGTGCGGGGTGAACACAGTGTCCTTCGGCTTCCAGGGGGCCCCTTAGATTTCATCAAATTCTCGGTGATGTCCAACCCCTTCCTCCAAATGGTAAGACCACTGACATGGAAATCTGCTTATCAGACCCTCAGGTAAATATTGCAGTGACAAACGCGTGGAACGCGCAGTCAAAAGAGATGTGAAAAGTTCGGAGCTGTGGGCAGAATCTGGCCGTGTGTCACTAGATGGAGAGATGGGCCATCCTGTGACTGTTTTCAGTCTCACTGATCACCAGGGCAACTAGATGGTTATTATTTGCCAATCAGACTCAGAGAAAATAGTACCGATAGTCAGGACTGGGGAGAGTAGAGGGGCTTCATGTAACCTACAGCTGCTGTTTGCTGTTTAGTTACTAAGCCATGTCTGACTCTTTCCGACCCCACGGACTGCAGGTCGCCAGGCTCCTCTGTCCTTGGGTTTCCCCGGGCAAGAATCCTGGAGTGGATTGCCATTTCCTCTTCCAGGGAATCTTCCCAACCCAGGGATTGAACCTGCCTCTCCTGCACTTGGCAGATGGGTTCTTTACCTCTGAGCCACTTGAGAAGCCCCATAAACTACTAACAGGAGTGTAAATTGATATATCTAGGGGGATAATTCAGTGTTGTGTCAGGAGTCGTAAGCACCTTGAACCTAGCAAGCCCAACTTAAGTCAACAAAGAGATGGACAGGATATTCACCTGGGCCTTGTTCAGAGGTGAAAAAGTAAAACCCACCTCAGTGCCTGACCACAGGGATCGATTAAGTCACGGCCCATCCACACTAGGACATACTATGCGGTGGTAGGAAGGATGGGCTAGAAACTCAGCTACTGCCGGGAAACGGCTCATGGTATCATTGGTGTGAAGCTCTGCTGTTTTCAGCAGAATATTAGAGGAGGAACCAGAATTTCACAGCTGACGTGCTTCGTCGCTAACCATTGGCTCCTCGGACGGGGCACTCGGGGCATGCATGGTTTACTCTGTTGGTGAGGAAGGGGTTCACAGCCCCACAGCAAGTAAGTCGGTGGTCAGACTGTGATCCCGGCTTCCTTCAGGCCTTACCCTCAGCTCCCCATGTGCCGGGGACGGGTGTCTGAACCACGCCTCCCGGGAGCGGTGGATGAGACCAGAGACCTCCCACCCCACCTCCAGGGGGTCCTCCGGGAGACCAGTTATCACGGTGGCACACAGTGGGGTCACAGCCCACCTGCCGGCAGGGCACAGGGGGTCCGGGGCCGCAGTGGGGAGGGGCCTGCCGCCTGGAAGCCCCCTCCAGCCCCCACCTCACAGATCCCCAGTGTCTGGGCCTCTCCACCAGCAGTGGGAAGGACGCAGGCATGTTCTCAAGGAGACGCATCACCTGCAGAGAAATCCTCTCCAGCGTCTGCTAGGAAGCATCTCTCGTGTGTGCGCCTGTGTGCATCCACGGGGAGGGGCACACGTCTTGTCTCCATCTGCTCATGGAAGACAGCCATCCAAGTCCTGGGTCTGCTGTAAATGGTTTCTATAAACAGCTCCTTATAAAAAAGAGGCTGTCATCTAAACAGTTCATGTTTCTGAAAGAGCTGATGCATTTTCCAATGAGAACAGTTCTCTTTAACGTCAACCCATGAAAAATCAGGGTTTGTGCCTCTGTGGGTAAGTGTCCCCACGGTCTGGGAGAAAACCCTGGTGATGGGGTGGGCGCTGGAACTGAGGACCTGGCACAGGGCTGCCCCACGGGTCCGCCAGGAGGTGGTGCTCGACTTCCAGGTGTTTGAAGGACAGGTAATCACATGGCCAATCGGGACCCCCGGCTGGCGTGGAGCTGGTCTGCTCTCCCCCAGGCCCCATTTCATGGTGGAGTCCTGCAGATCTCCACCTCCTGCACGGCAGAAGAGCATGAGCTTACTTCAAGTGTGTTCTCTCTCCTCCCTGGGTCTGCGCTCAACTGCCCACCTCCCAGACAAGCCAGAGGGGGATGGGGCAGATACCACCTGCGTTTGGTCTGGAAATGAAGCAGGGGATGGACTCTCTCAACGTTACTCAGCAAACCCGCCTGAGGAGGTAGACTGCTGAGTCTTGTGGTGACAGGAAGGCAGAGGGATGCTCTACTGGCCCACAGGATGGCTGGCTCCTTCTCCATCTCGTAACCACGAAGAGAGCCAGCAGCTTCCCAAGAGAGCTGGCCAAGGCGTGAGGACGATGCATTTTAAAAAACTGCAGATGTGGCACTAGTGGTGAAGAACCTGCCTGCCAAGGCATGAGACACGGGAGACACGGGTTCGATCTTGGGTGGGGAATATCCCCTGGAGAAGGAAATGACAACCCACTCCAGCCTTCTTGCCTGGAGAATCCCATGGACAGAGGAGCCTGGTAGGCTGCCGTCAATGGAGTTGCAAAGAGTCAGACATGAATGAGTGAGCACACATTGTTAAAAAGTAAAATAATTTTGTGATTTGAACACAGACATATGTTAAATGTCAGCATTTATGAAAATGTTAATATCTGTTTAAAAATAAGTTAATGTGCTTTCGACAAGTTACATTCCAATGACAACTCCGTATTCCTGGAGGAGTGGGGTGAGCGTTTTTATAGGGCGAGTGCCTCTTGGACACCTCTCTCCTGGTGAGGAATCTGCGCAGCGGGGGGCTCAGGCCTCTTAAATAGCTGCGTGGGGGCCAGACCCTAAGGGGGAGCAGTGTCCACTTCTGCGTGACTCTGAGTGAGTGGGGAGGCCTCCAAGAGACGAGACTGCAGGAGCTGAACACAGCTTCCAGCCAACAGCCAGGCAGAAGCTGAGTCCTCAGGCCTGCAATCGCAAGGCAGTGACTGGCCCTGCTTGAGTCTGGAAACAGCCCCTCCCCGCCAGTCAAGTCCCCAGAGGGGGAGGCAGCAACACCTCGGCTCCAGCCGGGGACCCTGAGCTGGGAAGCAGCGGAGCTGGTGGGAAGGGATCGGCTGCCCACTCCAGTATTCCTGGGCTCCCCTCGTGGCTCAGCTGGTAAAGAATCCGCTTGCAACGTGGGAGACCGGGTTCAATCCCTGGGTTGGAAAGATCCCCTGGAGAAGGGAAAGGCTGCCCACTCCAGTATTCTGGCCTGGAAAATTCCATGGACTGTATAATCCATGGGGTCACAAAGAGTCGGACAGGACTGAGCGACTTGCGTTTTCACTTTCCATGACCTGTGAGACAGTGTGTGCAGGACTGAGCGACTTTCGCTTTCGCTTTCCGTGACCTGCAGGTCAGCGCGGGCGCAGGACTCCGTGACCCACGGGTCAGCGCATGTACCGAGCTGGGTGAGCTTCTTTTCCTGTCCCCAGGATCCGGCTCTTTGCGAGCCCTCCAGTGGGCCGGCCCTCTGTGCCAGCTTCCCAGGATGAGAGAGCCTGGCCTGCATCTCTTCTCCCAGACGTATTCATCACCGTGGCGAGGAGCCCCCCAGGCTCCCGGTCTGGGGCAGAGTGCAGAAGTGGCCAGTGCATCCCCGGTGAGCAAGGTTAAGAGGAGTTGAGGTCACGAGAGTGGGGCCCCACGAAGGGATCGGGGTCCTCGTTAGAGGAGAAAGAGACCCAAGAGCTCTCTCGGCTGCATTGAGCCCACAGTAGGAAGACGGCCGCCTGCAGGTCAGTAAGGGCCCTCACCGGACATGGGGTCTGCCTGCACGCTGATTGCGGACTCAGCCTCCCGACTGCAAAGAATAAATGTGTGTCCTTCGGGCCATCCAGTCTGTGCCCTATAACAGCAGCTGTGCTGACCGAGATGGCAGGTCCCCCACCTCGCAGCTGCCGTGAGAAGGCCACGGCGCCAGACCTGAGCTCTGGCATCAGGACGTGGGGTGTCCAGGATGCGGCGTCAGGATGTGGGGTGTACAGAACGCTGGGGCAGAGTCAGGATGCAGGGTGTGTGGGATGCGGGGTGTGCAGAACGTGGCATCAGGACACGGTGTCAGGATGTGGGGTGCACAGGACCCTGGGGCAGCATCAGGATGCGGGGTGTGCAGGACGTGGGGCCGCAGAGCCTCCCCCTTCTCTGGTTTCCACCACGTCTGTTGCAAAGAGCGGGGGGTGGGGTTGGCAGCATGGCTGACGTCGGGCACCGCTTAACACCTCTGTGCCCGCTGCGGGTGGCGCGTTTGGTCCAGCCAGCTCGTTCAAGAGCAGGCCGAGGATGGCTGTGAAGGGCAGGCTGCCCCCGTCCACGCTGCCAGTGGGATGGAGGTGCTGCTGAGGGGTCCCGAGGAACCTCTGCCAGGAGTGAGGGAGCATAAGCCTCACCGCAGGGTGTTGGTCCAGACAAAGTGCAGACTTTCAAGCGATTATGATCAACGAGGAGCCTGCTAACTGCCTGCTCGACACGCTGCCATCTGCCTTTAACTGGAGGTGCCGTGGGCAGAGACGCAGGGCAAGCCATCTGCCTTTAACCGGAGGTGCCGTGGGCAGAGACGCAGGGCCCGCGGCTGGTGCCCTCGGCTTCCCTCCCCCTGCCCGCCTGACCGACTCTTGCTGCGCCGAGGCCTTGACCTCACCCTCGTCTGAACAATGATCAGTTAAATGTTCTTCCTTTTCCTTCTCACTGCCTTCCTCACTAAAGAAATGCACATAAATCCCTGCAGTTTGGAAAGTGAGTCACAGTAACAAATCGGAATCACCTACAGAGCCTGAGACAGGCCTGTCTTGCTTTGTGCCCATTCGGCCTTTTTCTCTGACTTGTGTACGTGTCAAAAGGTGCTCTCGCCGCACGCATCATCTTGTAACTCTTTTCCCCTAACAGCGCATCGCGGACACCCGCGGCAGGATCACGTGTTCTTCTGCCGCACGGTTTTTGCTGGTTGCCTGCAGTCCGTTGCTCTGAGTTGACTGGTTTATCAACTACCTCCTCCCCTGCTGTTGGTCACTGGGACTCTCCAGGGCTTGTTTCCATGCTATAGGTGACCCTGCGGCAAACAGCGCCTTGGAGGAATCTCTGAAGACAGCAGACCTTCCTGCGGACGGGCCTCTGGCAGCCATCCGTTCCCCAGAATCTCTCCCTTGCCGACTCCCGTGACCCACACTCTCACCCTCTTGCATCTGCGCCCGAAACCCTCTCAGTTCGCTCCTTGGCCGCTGCTGTCCTTCCTACAAAACTGAACTTCAGAGCACCATCCCGGCCGTCTCCTCGCACGTTCATCACAGCCTCTGCATGTAAGTCATAAACTGGAATACCAGAGCTAGCTCAGCGCAGGGTCTCCAGAGTGTAGGGAGGACCCGTGCCCCACACCGTCCGGTGTGTGTGTGTGCGAAGCCTGGCTCTCCGTGGGTTCCTCTGGGCTGGGAGGGGCGACGGAAACACAGGGCCTTGGCAGCCGGGAGAGTAGCATGGAGACTCAAGAAGGTGGAGAAACAGCCTGCTTGGCCCGCAGATTTCAGCCTTCATCTGAGTCTCTGCTGCGTGAGGCTGAGCCTGCTCCCGGGGTGAAGGGTGTCCCACGCCCTTGGAGGCACAGGGCTGACCGAGGCCACCGAGAGCTGGCATAGAATGATCTCAGGCACAGGGACCTGTGTCTACATGTACGTCCTGTGCTGAAACGATGCTCCAAGTTTCTAAGGTAAAAGTTTTCCTAAAAGTCTCTGGGCTGAACGCCACGATCCCTCCAGTGAAAATCTTAAACAAGTCCGTGTGATCTCCTGCTAACAAGTACTGCAGTCCTTTCCTGGTTCGCATTCCTGTAACCATGTTCCAGTGATGGTAACCCAGGAAAGAGCCGAAAAAGAGACGCTGAGAGCTCTGCTCCTGAGCAGGATGGGTAATGAGGGCCATGCGGGACTGCAGCGCTTACTGTATGTGGAACGCGTGACACAGCAGCTTGGAAGACACTTGCCGTTAGAGTACCCACAAAGGACAGTGATGCGTGAGAAGCAGAAAGCAGACAGGTGGGCCGCAGCCCCTCCAGCCCACCGCCCAGAGGCGCCTCCCGGCAGGGGCGAGGGAGGAGGAGCCCTGGGGGCCTCCTGTGCCGGGGAGGCCGAGCTGGACTCGGGGGCGGGGGGCCCAGGCGGCCAGAGTCCACGGCGCAGGATGCTGGAGAGGAGACGGCTGTGCACCTAGAGAACTTCAGAGGCTTTCAGAGGACTGTGCCCTAGGGTCTGCAGTTGAGTCAATGCAAACACGAGGAAACCTCCTGAGGCTCGAAAAAGACCCCAAGGGAAGAAATCAAACAACCCCAGACACAAAATCACAAAAGACTGCCGATCGTCCCTGTCCTCACCAGCCAGGGTGGGTCACTTCATAATCCATGGGGCATCTGGTGGGGGCACTCGGGAGGATTTTGACTCAGTCGTTTGGCAAAATTGGCCCCAGAGAGAGCACTGCTGTTGCCGCCTAATGTATCTTAAAGGGGAGGATTTGAAGGTTCAAACGTCCTCAAGTAACATAGCTGCACCCTGAACAAAGAGCAAGACTATTTATAGGAGCGCAAAAGTACAGAGCACCCAACAGAATGAACGTGCAATGTCTGACACTCCACAGACATTACCACCTAGACAAAGCTGTGGGGAAAGACAGCCCACATGAGGAAAAAATAAATAGAAACTGACCCAGAAATGACAGATGATAGAACCAGTAGAGAAAAACGTGAAACAGTTATTGTGATCATATTCTTGCTTCAAGAACCGGAGCATGGCAAGTAGAGTCATGGAGTGAACATATCTGATTCCAACTCGAGGAGGTAAAGGCTACAGAGTTTGAGCTGAAAACAGTGAACTGGGTGGGATGTTATACACCAGACATCACTTGATTAATGGACATTAATGTCTAATGGTGTTAGATATTGCATTTGTAAACTTGGAGTCACATAAACAGAAATCACCCAAAAGGAAAAAGAATGTAAAAAGACCAAAAAAGTGAATAAGGCCATGGTAAAAACTCAAGTTACCCAATAAACTTATAACTAGAATCCTGGAGAGATGGAAAGGATAAAAAATATTTAAAAAGATGATGGCTAATAATTTTCTGATTTGTTGTAAACTGTGAACTCACAGAATACAAAAACCTTAGCAAACACCAAGGATAAGAAACATGAACAACATTATACTAGGCGTGTCATAATAAAATTGCTTAGAAGCAGTATTAAATAATAAAAGCAGCCAGAGGCAAAAAATACACACATGTACAGAGAAACAGATGTAAGAATCACAGTGGACTCCTCGCTGCAGACAATACAAGCCAGAAGGCGGTGGGGCAAAATTCCTAAAGCTCCGCTGCTGCTGCTGCTGCTAAGTCGCTTCAGTTGTGTCCGACTCTGTGTGACCCCAGAGACGGCAGCCCACCAGGCTCCCCTGTCCCTGGGATTCTCCAGGCAAGAACGCTGGAGTGGGTTGCCATTTCCTCCTCCAACGCATGAAAGCAAAAAGGGAAAGTGAAGTCGCTCAGTCATGTCCGACTCTTCACGACGCCATGGACTGCAGCCCACCAGGCTCCTCCGTCCATGGGATTTTCCAAGCAAGAGTACTGGAGTGGGGTGCCATTGCCTTCTCCCTTTAAGCACTAAGAAAAGAAAACTCTACTAACCTAGAATTCTTGACCACTGAAACTATCTTTCGAAGACTTTGTCAGACACGTGAAAGTGAAAGCGCATCACCAACAGATCCACACCGCAAGAAACACTAAAGAAAGCTCTTCAAGCAGAAAGAAAACACTGCCAGATGAAAATATGCATTTACATATAGTACTAGAAATAGTAACTACACGAATACATATAAACACATTTTATTCTTTTCATTTAAATATTTTAAAAAGATAATTGACTATTTAAAGCAAAAATAAGAATGATATATTGGGGGTTTGTAACATATGCAGAAGCAAAATATATGGAAAGGAAGGCTAAAGGGTAGAAGTGAAAGTATACTATAGTGAGGTTTTTATAACCTGAATAAGACTGTCATAAATGTATATATATATATACTTTTATATATAATAAACCCCAAAGTTGTCACCAAAATAGCAAAACAAAGAGTTGTAGTTAATAATCTAAAGGAGGAAATAAAGTGGAATCATAATAAATACTAAACTCAAAGAAAAAAGGAACAAAGAACAGATGAGACAAGTAGAAAAAATAGAAGGTATAGACCCAAACTTAATAAAAATAACTGTATTAAATGAAAATTGTTTAACTGCCCCAGTTAAAAAGCAGAGATTGTTAGATTGAATTTTAAGAAGCAATATCCAACTATAAACTACTTACAAGAAACATAATTTAAATATAAAGACACAAATGCATAGAAAATAAGATGGTGGAAACAAATATACCATATTAATACTCTTCCATGTAAAGCTGGAGTGAGTGTATTAACTTCAAAGTAGATTTTGGAGGAAAAAACATAGCCAGGGATAAAGGAGTTCATTTCATAATGTAAAAGGGCTAATTCATCAAGAAGATGAGACAGTCCTAAGGTTTATGTACTTAATAACAGAGTTTCAGAATACAGAGGGCAAACAAGGATAGAATTGCAAAGGAAAACTTTCTACACACAATACTTAACTCAGGTGAATGATGGACATAGGTGTTAAACTATAACAGAAGAAAATACAGGAAATAATTTTTGTCTTCTTAGGTTAGACAAACATTTCTTATTGTTGTTGTTCGGTTACTGAGTCGTGTCCAGCTCTTTGTGACCCCATGGACTGTGACACTCCAGGCTTCTCTGTCCTCCACTATCTCCCGGTGAAGTGAAAATTGTTCAGTCGTGTCCGGCTCTTTGCTACCGCATGGACTATACAGTCCATGGAATTCTCCAGGCCAGAATACTGGAGTGGGTAGCCTTTCCCTTCCCCAGGGGGTCTTCCCAACCCAGAGATCAAACCCAGGTCTCCTGCATTGCAGGCAGATTTTTTATCAGCTGAGTCACAAGAGAAGCCCTGGAATCTCCCAGAGTTTGCTCAAATTCATGTCCATTGAGTCAGTGATGTCCCATCTCATCCTCTGTCACCCCCTTCTCCTTTTACCTTCAACCTTTCCCAGCATCAGGGTCTTTTCCAATGAGGTGGCTCTTCGCATCAGGTCACCAAAGTATTGGAGCTTGATTTCCTTTAGGATTGATTGGTTTGATTTTGCAGTCCAAGAGACTCTCAAGAGTCTTCTCCAGCACCACAGTTTGAAAGCATCAATTCTTCGGCACTCAGCCTTCTTTATGTCCAATTCTCACATCCATACATGACTACTGGAAAAGCCATAGTTCTGACGATATGGACTTCTGCCAGCAGAGTGATGTCTCTGCTTTTTAATATGCTGTCTGGGTTTGTCATAGCTTTCCTTCCAAGGAGAAAGTGTCCTTTAGTTTTATGGCTGTAGTCACCATCTGCAGTGATTTTGGAGCCTCCCAAATAAAGTCTGTCACTTTTCCCACTTAGTCTCCTTTTATTTGCCATGAAGTGATGGGACAAGATGGCATGTTCTTCATCACGATTGTGATGATGAACTCTTGGATATGTGCATTTCAAAACTCATCAAGGTGTACATCTCGAATACAACAAATGTACCAAAGGCCAGTTATACCTCGGTGAGAAGGAAAATAGTGAGAATCTTAAAGAGCCACTTGTTGGTGCATCAGAGTACTGATCAGTGCCCAGTTCTTTCTGATGCACAGACCTTCCCCTGCAGCTGGCCTGACTGTCCAGGAGGGCACCCAGCAGCCGCTGTCTCTGTCGCAGCAGCAGAGCGGGTCCTGAGGGCGCAGAGGGAAGACCAGCTGCCGCAGCAGCTTGGACGCCGCCCCTGTGCCCGCCCCCACATGGCAGCCCTGAGACCCCCCCACCCACCTGCTCCTGCCGCTTTGTGGTCAACCAAGAGTGAAGGTCACCTTCGCCCCTCAGTTGCAGCATGGGTCACCCTGAAAACAGCAGGGAAAACACGGAAGCCTGTGAGACGACTTAGGTGGAAATTGCTGCCTGTGATTTATGGTTTTAATTAAGAGCTTTTTAAGCTTTAATTAAAAAGGTACACGAACATTCAGTATTTAAGAAAAATGCCTTTGTGTTTGGGTCAATTGAATAACATAAAATAAAATGAGATACATATTTCTAGTCAGAAGCTTCACATAAGAAAACAGTGTACATAATTAAAAAGTAAATTTAAACTGATTTGGGCATAAAGGCTTTCTAATGGGGGAAGATGGCTGCGGGGAATATTATTTTCCTTATTGCAATATAGCAGGGCATCTGACCCACACGTTAATAAGGCTGCTTCCCGGGATGGGTGCAGAGGCAGGAATATGAGTGTCCGCCGGAGGGTGTAATTGACTCCCAGAGATGGCCCCGGGGGCTGCAGAGAGTCCCTGCCTGGGTTTTCACTCTGTCACTCTTTGCTTCCTATTGCCCTTGGCACTTGTTTGCGTCTCAGACTCGGAAACCACAGTGAACAGCTCTAGGTCAAAGGTTTGCTTAGTAATGCACAAACCTACCATGCAAATGAGCTCAGAGCCGGGAGGAGCGAGAGAAGCCTGAGGAAAGTCACCTGTTGGGCCCAAGGTCACACGTGAGGCCATCAGAGCCGGGAGCTCCAGACTGGAGATGCTGCTGTCTTTGCTCTGGGGGTGGGGGGGAGGTCAGTGCACCCCAGTGTTTGGGCTGCAGGCCCACCACAGAAGCAGTGAGTGGCATCAGGGTGGGTGACCCCAAGACACGGGCCTGCGGGCACTCGAGTATTCTGGACCCACAGGCCTGTTGCACAAGGAGGGGTGAGGGTGTCAGCGCTGTGAGCCCTGCGCCTTAGCTCAGGATGGCACTACAAGGTCACCGCGAGGACTGCAGAGCCGGACGGGGTCCCAGCGTCTGAAGGGCCCTGCCATCCATGGGCGGCTCACCCATGGGCAGCCCCATGCTGTTTCACAGGCTGGACTTCTGCATGCACAACGTGCTCCTGGGAAGGACCTGGGAAGTGTCCGGGAAGTCTCAGGCTCCTGAGCACCACTGCAATCCCATCAGCAGGGTTCTCATTGGCAGGGTTACCTGGAAGCTCAGTAACGACACTGAGCCACACTGGGCCTGGGGCAGCTCACGCAGGCAGACTTTCCACTTTTATCCCAGGGTTACTTGCTGTGTCTTTTCTGACC